CAATGGCCTGGAGAAAAATTGCTTCCTGACCCCGAAGCGGCGATCAGTGTTTCCCCGGGCGCGTAAGAAAGGGCCACAAGAACTAAGCACTGAGGTAACCCTTCCTTCCCTCCCTCTCAGGATCTGCCCAAGTTCACAGAATCAGCACTGCTATCAGATGGCCATCTAGCCTCTGTTTGAAAACCTCCAAAGAAGGAGAGCCCACCACCTCCCGAGACAGCCTGTTCCACGGAGGAACTGATCTGTCAGGAAGTTCTTCCTAATGTTTAGCCGAAAATATATCGGAGTCTTGATATTTTCTCCTGCAGGGCCGATGGGGGTGATTGAAAGGATAGTTCACACATCACCAAGTCCTTATGTCCCCCATGTGTTCACCCCCTCTCCTGTCAATCATTTAGACTCTGAGAGTTCTATGCTTGATTCCCAGGTGTGCCCGGGTCCAATTTGGACTGGGAATGTGGCATTTAGGGAGAGGGGGGTTAAGCACGTCCACCCGGCCATTTTCCTGACCTGAAACGGCCCTGGGGAACTGCTGTTTGTCCTCCTGAATAAACTTACATACAGCCGAGCAGTACACAAGTCATCCCAACCGGACCACTTCAGGTCAGAGAACTGGGTTGGAGTGAAGGCTTGAGGCTTCCTCGGGAGGTGATGGGCTCTTCTTCTTTGGATGTTTTAAAGCAGAGGCTCGATGGCCATCGGACAGCAGTGCTGATCCTGTGAACTTAGGCAGATCACGAGAAGGGAGGGCAGGAAGGGTTGCGGCAGTGCTTAGTTCTTGTGGCCCTTTCTTACACACCCAGGGAAATGCTGATTGCCACTTTGGGGGTCAGGAAGCAATTTTTCTCCAGGCCAATTTGGCCAGGCATTTCGGAGGTTTTGTTGGCATCTTCTGAGCATGGAGCAGGGGTTACTGGGGGTGTGGTGAGGAGGTATTTGTGAATTTCCTGCATTGTGCAAGGGGTTGGACTAGATGACCCTGAAGGACCCTTCCAACTCTATGATTCCTGTTCCTGCATGCTGTGTTCCCAGACCAAATCAGGCTCCCACACATCCGAGTACTAAGTTCTAAGCAGGAAAATCCCAGAGCATGTCTGAGCAGGGTGGCCAGGTGTCCTGCTCCAGCAGGAGATCTCCCGCTTCACACCTTGGTCCCCCACACACCAATTTGGTAGGATGGCAGGCCAGAGGAATGTCAGGGAAATCAGCATCGCTCTAATGCCGAAACATCACTTCTGCTTTTACCATAGAGTTTCAATGGAATCCTAGAGCGTTGCCCGACACGATAATGTCGCTTCCGGGTTTGTGCGGGAAGTGATGTCACAGCATCAGAGCAATGCCAATTAACATGCCCCCACCCTTCAAATGCTCCCTCTTTGGACTGGCAACCCTACATCTGGTCAACGTCCCCCAAGGCAGACTCTCAAGAGACACCAGGACTTTGTAAAACATGAGTTGACTCTGTGAGCACAAAAAGAGCACCGGGCCTGGGAGGGGAACTCCCTCTGCCCATTTGCAGTGGAAGAAACAGCAGGACACCCATTCACAGGTCTCCCGTCGTCACTGCCAGATGTGGCTTCACCAAAATGTGCTTAGTGGATTCCAGCAAAAGGAACTTCTTAGCCAAATTGGGTGATAGACGCTGTCCGGAAAACCGGGGAAGGCCGAAAGAACTCAGATCCAAACTCCATATGATAAAGATAATTAAAAGTGACATCATATATCTCTAGGATACCATAGACAAGCAAGTGTTAGACTGATTTCCCACAGCCGCTGCTCTGCGCTCGCTCCTCTCTTTGCCCCGATGGTACGTGCCCATTTCCCACTCGAACCCTCGGCCACATTTTTTTTAAAATAATTTTTTATTGTTTTATTTCATAAAACATATCCAACACCACCACCACCCATGTGCGACTTCCAGGCAATAGAGACATAAATAAAATTCCATACAGTATTATATCACAATCAATCTCAATACAACTCTTTATAATCAAATTAACCTCTCAATTTCCTAATAACTGACTAATCACCCCAATTTTTTAAAACTTTCCCAAATACCCTGCCATTCTTCTAAACCAGTCCTCCTCCTGTTCATTAACCTTTAACCCATTCATTCTGCATATCTTCATTGTAAGATACTCTAAAATTATTATATTATTCAATGCGCGGCCACATTTTGACCCGCGGCTTCGCCCAATTTCCCCCACAGTTTCGTGATCCTGTTTTTTGAGGATTACGAAATGGTGGGCAAAATTGGGCAAAGCCGTAGGTCAAAATGCGGCCGTGTGGCTTCGAGTGGGAAATTGACACATACCATTGGGGCAAAGAAAGGAGTGAGCACAGCGCAATGGCTGTGGGAAATCGGTCTTAGGGAGTTTGGGGAAACAGCTGGAGAAGAAGCCTCAAACTTTTCAGAGGAATGTAAAAAAATAAGGTACTTACGCCATGACAATAACACAAAAGTCCAGCCAGTTCCACGGGTCTCGAAGAAAGGTGAACTCTGTCATACAAAATCCTCTTGCCAATATTTTTACCAGTGATTCAAAAGTGTAAATGCCTGTGAAAGTGTACCTGCAAAGATGGAAAGGTCCGAGAAAAAGCAAGACGTTAGCAGACGAAGGGCAAAAAATAGAAAAGAAAGGACAATGTATTGACACATGCCTGTTCATCCAATATCCAGTGCATGATCCGTATGTGTGGAAAAGCCATCCGGGACCAAATGCCAAACACCACCAAGCTTTCCTTATTGGATGACACTGATCAAAGTCATCGAAGGGATGGACATGCGTGTGTGAAAGAAGCCTGAGAAGCGCATCCCAGGAATGGATCCTTTCACAAAGACTAGGAACATGCAGGCCCCTCTCATATCATTACTGGAGTTGCCGGGGGGGGCGCTGAATCACGAGGGCTCCATTCAGGGTCGCTAGGCAACCATCAGGAGCTTCAGGGACAGGGAAATGGGGGGACGTGTCATCACCTGTGGCAAGCTATCACTTCCAGGAAGGCCGACAGTACAACCCGAATCTATATTGAGCCCCTGAAACTGCTTACTGCAGTAAATGACATGTCAGGGAATCCTATCACAGCTCCCAAATGCTATGTAGAGTCCCTCCTCTCCAATTTTTAAGAGAGTATTTTGGTTCTAAGTTTTGAAAATGTTGGTTCTTTTTACCAACGTTGCACTGCCGCCGCCAATAGCGTTAGCTTCTATGTACTTGATCGCATTCTTAAGACCTGTAAGCCATCTTGAAAGCCTTTTTCCCCACCAAGACAGCGGAACAAAAACATTTTCAATAAATGAATGGATAAAGTATGTTAACAATCAGCATCATAATGTCAGCCTTGTTGGAATATACGAGGTCTATAGTGCACCTACTTGAAGAATATCTGAAGATCACCCTGTGGGGGGCAACTGAAGGACTGGTAGTTGGCATAGCTAGATTAGGGACTTCCCACAATTTCCAGTTATGTCCTTCCTGCCTCCCGATTGGCTCTTTGGAGACTTCCTGCTCCAACTGAGCCCTCCCCCTTCATTCCTCTCACAGCAGTTAGTCCGTTAGTTAAGCCTCCCTCCCTCTCCTCTGTTCTATCAGGTTTTTTTTTCTTCTTCTTTAATAAACAGAGTTATTTTCTTTAAACAGTTGGTGCTCCGTTCCTTGGCATGTTTAAACTCTGCCAACAAGCCTAACCTAAAGCATGCATGCCTGTTTTAGCCCGGAATTCCCAAGAGGGTATACTCGGGTAGAGACCAGCTTTATCACCGGACCTGCTTTAGCGAGTGGCTTTATCCTTGAAGCCTTTTGTTTTCCTGTGTCACTTCAGAATTGTAGTCGTGAACATAAAAAGGAACCCCAGTTCAGCAATGTAAAAAAAACCCAAAAAACGGTCAGGCAGAATTGGCAGGCTTATAGCGAATGCCTGTGACATTGCTGCAGTACATCCTCCTGCACTGGGCAGTCGTTAAGTCAGGCATGGAAAATATCGGCCGCTAGGTAATATACCTGCTGCGATCAACGGAAAAAGGCATTATGAATTATGAAGTAATCATTGCGGTTGATTGGATTGGATCGCCTCTCCCCAAGGAGGTTGGCGAAGGGCCTTTTTCCAGACGATCGGGTTACGGAGCACGCTGTATCCATTTATGTACCACGCTGTGGTTGTTCGTTTGCTGAAAGGGATCCAGATGTTCGGCCTGTTTTATAGGAGGCAAGTTGGGAGCTTCCTTTAAACCAGGTTACGGGGGGGGGGGGGATGCATTGCCTAGAGACTGCCTATCAAGAAACAGTGCCTTAAGAGGCTGACATATTTCAGATGGCCGGTAGGGGGAAGATGCTCGTAGGGCAGGAAGGCCTAAGTTGCCGTCGTCAACAACGTGGCAATGCACTTGGGCAAAAACTCGGTGGTAGAAGCCATTTTGACCATAACGCTTTTGCCCAACGACCAAGGGTTACCATGACACCAGCAATGTGATGATGTCACATCTGGTGCACACTGGAAATGATGTCATTGCACCACCAGGAATAAGAACTACGCCTCTTTCCTACTTCCAGTGAGCCCCCACTCCGGTTCCCAGGAGGGACCTGGCAACCCAGCCTAGATGCCAAACTCTTGCCGAAGGGGGGGAGGGGGACAGCCAGAAGTCTCAGATAGGCCCAAACAAGTGAGCTGATACACTAGGCAGCCCTCATGTGAGCCAGTATACTGGACTAGATGGACCACTGGTCTGATTCAGCAGCCTCTGATTAGGAAGTCCATCAATGGCTATTAGCTATGATGACTAAATGGAACCTCAAAATTCAGAGGAAGTATATCACTGAATACTAAGGTTGCCAGGTCTTACCTGGTATCCAGTGGGGAGCTCCTGGGTCCTGCCCAGGATCTTTGCACCACCGTCATGGGGGGGGGGGACACTCTAGTTTTTGGGCAAAACGCTATATTTTTTGCCTTCAAAGCCATAGAGTTTACCCAAAAACTAGAGCGTCACCCCCCAACAGTGGTGACTCGATGATATCATTTCCAGGTGCCAGTTTGATGTAGTAGTTAAGTGCGCGGACTCTAATCTGGGAGAACCGGGTTTGATTCCCTACTCCTCCACTTGCACCTTTTGGATGACCTTGCGTAAGCCATAGTTCTGGCACAGCTGTTCTCTCAAGAGCAGTTTCTGTCAGAGCTCTCTCAGCCCCACCTACCTCACAGGGTGTCTGTTGTGGGGAGGAGAGGGGAAAGGAGTTTGTAAGCTGCTCTGAGACACCTTTGGGTGGGGTGTAAATCCAATCTCTTCTCTTCTTCTGTTCAGCGGTGGGGCTGGAAAAGCGGGGGAACCCCCATTGGGACCAGGGGGTTGAGAATCCTACTGAATCCTACCAGATCAAAGCCCAGAAAAGTGGGGGAAACCCCATTGGGACCTGGGGGTTGAGAATCCTACTGAATACCAGTGCTGGGAGGCTATGGCCTTCATGCCCATGATGGTAAGCCATCCAGGGACATCTCTGTGGCCACCATAGGAAACATGATGCTGGACTATATGAACTACTGGTCTGTTCCAGCAGGGCCCTTCTTATGGGTGGACCTTGTGTACTGAGCCCTACTAATACTACAGGGGTTCATAAAGTGTCGAAAGAGGAAGAACTGGGATCCCTCTCAAAATTCTCTTTCTTTTCTATCACTCCCACAAAACCAATCAGAGCTAGACCGATCGAAGTTTCATCCGACTGCTCTCTCGGCCTTTACTGACGCTGCCGGAAGTTATGGAAAGATGGTGGGAAAGACCAGGAGGCCACCCAGTCTAGCCCCAAGGTCAGGCGGCAGTGTTTCAGAGGAAGGGGCAAAGAAAAATACGATCCTAGTTGGGGGAAGGCCAAAAGGCCCCTGTCTAACCCCAAGAGGCCACGACTGGGGCATCAAGAACTATATCTCAAGTTGTTCTTCAGCGACACATACCGGATTTGAAAGACGCCGTGGCCCCCAACATCAAGTCACTGCTATTAATAGGGCTGGCATTTAGGAAGGGAGAAATATGTCCCCATCCAAGCCGGGTGATTCCACCTCTCCTAGAAGTCGAAGCCTGCGTGTTCCACGGGATCCTGACTCCAAGGGGGGCATTCTGTAGTCTTTCCCTCCGGCGCCAGCCACCAGGAGCAGATGGCGGTGTTTATCAGCCGTCAGTCAAAGATAAAAAAAAGTGCATTCTGGTTGGCTCAATGAGCCACGCTAATTGTTTAATGCACTGCACTTTGATTAAGCTCCCACATCTGCTATCCATTTCCATAGCTTGGAGAAGTGCATACTAGCTGTACTTCTTTAAAAAAAGAGAGCTAGGGAAAGTATCTTTAAAAAAAACAAAAACTAGATAAAAAGTCACCAGAAGGTATTTGTTTGGTGTAGTGGTTAAGAGTGCAGACTCTAATCTGGGAGAACCGAGTTTCATTCCCCACTCCTCCACATGCACGGGGGACCCCACTCCCAAAGCGCACGATGTGCCCGGTGTGATCACATCACCCAGAGGTGACATAATCACGTCGGACACGTTGCGGGGGACGCTCTATCATCCGAGGGGAAACTCTATGGTTTTCCCTTGGATGATTGCGGCCCTGCCCAAGAAGTGCATACTAGCTGTACTTCTTTTTTAAAAAGAGAGCTTGGGAAAGTATCTTAAAAAAAAAAAACTAGGTAAAAAGTCACCAGAAGGTATTTGTTTTGTGTAGTGGTTAAGAGTGCAGACTCTGTGTGCGTGCCAGGAGACTCCAGGAGTTGTCCAGGACTCCCCCCACTATTCCTGAGGTAGCACTTGGCAACTAAGGTTCCAAGTTAGCCACTAGCTACGGCCATACAAGGGAGAACTCGGCAACCCTAGCTCCGGGAATCTTCACACGCTCGTGAAGCATGCATGTGCCGCAAGCACATCACACAGAAGTGACGCAAGCAAAACACCCACAGGGTTGTTTGAATCACACAGATCAGTTAGGGGAGCAGCCCAGCTTCAGGGCTCACCCAAACAACCAAAGAGAAGAACCAAACAATACTTTGAAGGAAGATGAAAATGCCACTTTGGACTGTAACCCAGCACATTAGTTCAATTGGACATTAGGGCTTTTTTTTTTTTCCTGGGGGGAACACGGCGGAATGGAGTTCTGGAACCTCTTTGACAAAACGCTTTTAAAAATGTTCAAAAGTTCATGAGTTTTCAGTATACAGACTGAAAACTTCATTTCCCTCATAAGAGTTCCGGCACCTCTTCCCCCCCTCCCCCGCAGCCCTGCCTACATCTGCCAAAGAAACACCATACGGGGATTTCCAGAGGTGGCATTTCAAAAATTCTACAGTGACACCAGAACAGCATGAATGAGAAAATGAGAAAAACACAACCCAAGACGACAAACTCACAATGCCCATCAAGATGGTAAGTTAAGGTCTAGGTCATACAAACACTATGGCTGATTTCACACTAGAGCTGTTCATCATTTTAACTGTACTTTCTAACATGGACAAATGTACGGGACCCGGACATGGACTAGCTAGAGTGGGAGAGCTCTACATAGTTCATCTCTACTTCCTTTTCCAGTGCATTCTGGGAATCATAGTCTGCAGAGCATTTGCTGTCACCTAAGGCCATTAAATCCGGAATCTAAAATGAATGATATGCATATTGTGGTGGCATAGGAACCATGCCAGTTATGAATGGCTCCCATTAAGTTCTATGGCACAGGCTCAATGGGCTGCAATTGGGAACGCTGTTGAAGGAGGAGCAGGCCTTCCTCCAAGAAAGGGGTGTCACCAGGGCCAGGTCTAACCTCCACTCTAACAGAGGCAGCCTAGAAGGGAATTTCCCACTCCCAGCCCCAACCTCTCACCCTTCAAAGATTAAAAAGCAGGAGGGGGAAAAAATGGCCTTCATGGTGACATTCTAGGATTTTCCCCAAGTCTCTGTGGTCTTTAATGTCGAGATTAGGAGAAATGCCCAGAATGTCACCCGGAAGTGACATCACATCCGCTCAAATTCCATCCTCCCCAGACCCCAGAATCTCCCAGCATTTGACAAGACAGTGTTGGGAACCCGACTAGCACTGCCTTAAGCAATCATGTAAACTTTCTCCCACATAAATCAATGGCTGCCATTCTCTCCATAGGGAACAGAGCAGGATGTGGGGAAACCAGGCAAGCCGGTAGTATCAAATGGAGCACTGACAGTGTGTGATGCTCATTCATGGGAGCATAGCAGGTAATGCAAAGTTATGAGTTGGTTGGTGTGACAATCATCCACTTACTTTCTATGGCTGGGTTCACACAGGGGAGAAACAACCTGGCAAAACATTAGTCAAGGACAGACGTTGCTCTAGAATCAGTATTAGGAAACAGGCACCATCAGATCAAAACAGACATCACACAGCTCAAGGCCAGGGCTGTATTAACCCACGGCCGGGCCCCTAGGATTTCAGGTATTTCGGGGGCCCTCCGGCACGTCAGTTTGCCCCGACACTATTGGTCAATTTCACACCCGAAGCTGCGGGGCTGCATTTGACCCACGTCTTCGCCCGATTTCCTCCGCAGTTTCGTGATCCTCAAAAGACAGGATCACGAAACCGCGGGGGAAATCGGGCGAAGCCGCGAGTCAAAATGCAGTCCCGCGGCTTCAGGTGTGAAATTGACCAATAGTGTCGGGGCAAACGGCAGTGCAACCGCGAGGCAGCTCTAGTGCGAAATCAGCCAAAATGAGAAAAGGCTGAGGGGGGTTGTGTCAGGTCACCCTGCTGCTGGGGCTGAATGGGAAGTAAAACTCCTCATATGTAGCAAACTTACAGGGAAAACCCAAAGTCAGAACTTTGTTCCCTGATGTCATGGTCTATGTACTCGGAAGAATTTACTTGTGACGTCCTCCCTATTGGGGAGGATTAGTTTCACTTTAAAAGTTCTCTTTATTTTGTTTAACAGGGTAGATTCTGCTGCCACCAGGAAATTTTAAGGATTTCTTCCAGAAATTTTTAATCACACGAGTCGAACTCTCCAGGAAAGCACATTTTTGGGGGCACGATTGTTCCATACTGTAATATTTTGAAGTGAATACTTTTTATTATTTATTAAATATATATAATTTATGGATAATTGTTTTAATATAAGAGATAATTTGTTTCACTGCAATAAGGGAGATGAACAATTGCTTTGGAAACATTCCGCCAGATAATCCCCCACAAGCAACCAGCCCGGGGGAGCCCTTTGATCACTTTACAGATGAAAGAAGCCTCAACAAAGTTCATGCGCTGAAGAAGACATGTAATATGATTCATTTGGTACTCTGATTTTAAAAAATAGCGCAGGGATCCCCAACAGGGTGCACAAGGGCACCATGGAGCTCACTAACACATTTTCGGGAACCCACCAGGTGTTTTTAGAAAGTGTGGGCCAGCAGAGCTTCTGATTGGCCGTTGGAGCTCTTCCACATATTGTCAGGTGAGTGTTTCTTAGCTATCTCAGTCTATATACTTGTGTGCAGGCAAGAAAGTATTTTTAAACACTATGTCCCTATAAAAAGGCATCCTGCTAAAGCCTAATTACAGGCTGTCTATGAAGAGAAAATAACAGTGCCTCAGCAAAAAAAAAATATGGATGGGCCCCTAGTCCCTGCAGGGCCCCTAGGCTTCGGCCTAGTCAGTCTTATGGGTAATACAGCCCTGTTCAAGGCCCGTCTGCCCAGTGTGGCTCTGAATGCTCCATGGCCCTCAACAGATGCAGAAGACACCACTGGGAAAAGGAATGTAACCCTTTCCCACCGGAACATTCCCACATCAGAAGGTGGCCATGCCCCAGTGACCTCGTAGTCCTGCCTGGGCCCATTCACACAACCATTGGATGCACTGTGGCGGTGGGGAAAAGACTAGCCAGTCTTTGGTGGAGCCCAGCCTGTGGTGAGCTATTTGTGGCTAGTACACCAGAATGGCTCATTTCCAAGTTAGACGGAGCACTGCACGGTAGGGTTGCCAAGCCCCCCCGGCGGGCGGGGTAACCCCCGCCCAAGAGGCCCGTTCCCTGCTCGTGTCACCTTTCCAAAGGTGCCCGCTGGCTCACAAAGGTTGGGGACCCCTGCACTAGCCAGTCCTTCATTTCTTCACCCCACGCTCTTTAACGCTCTTGGTTTCAGGTTACCCTTTGTTTCATGCCTTGAAACGTGCATAGACACCTCACCCGGAAGCACAAGCCCTGAGGCGACTGGATGCAAGCCAGTGAATATTCCAGTTCCTCAAAGAAGCCATGGGCAGAATGGCCCAACAAGACAGTGGGGAGGGGGGACAGGGGAAGGGGGGAAGAGTCAGAAGCAAGCAAAGATACTTACTCGACGTATTTAGCCCACTGGGGGATCTCCCGTTGAGCCATGAACACACAATTGGTCAAAATAGTGCACATAATAAACATACTGAATAATGTGGAACCTCAAGTTAAGGAAAGAACTTTAAAGAAGGAAAAGCAGTTTGAAAAAAAAATACACACTTTGTCAAATTATACCTTTGCACTATAGCTAGCTATAGTTATCTCCAACTAGTACACTCGTTATAGTAGGAACTACTAACGTCTTAGTGGTTCTGGGGCCCGGGGCAGGAATCCCGCTGGGGAACCCAGAATCCTTTGGGCCCTTCCGCCACCCCCACCCCTCCTGGGGCCAATCCAGGGCGGCCCTCTCTCAAATGCTGCCTGAGCACCAGAAGGAGAGGGAACGAGTAACCACTGCCGACCCACCTTCTGGAGGCCCAGACGGGGAGAGTTCGAGTGGCCGATGCTGCTAGCAGGCGACCAGAGCCTAGTCTTTTTCTTCTCCCCCCATCAGGGGGCGGGGGTCAGGGACCGTGCCCCCCCAGCATGGAGCTCAGGGCAGCAGTACCTGTTGCCCATTGGCTAAGACTGCCCCTCGATATCACAACTCTTCCAAGTGCTGCAGCACCAGTTCACCGTTAACAGCAAGCATGATCGCAGAATCAAACATGTAAAGGTCTTTTCCGTGGTGGCCCCTCAGCTTCCGCATACCTTCCCCACGGCTGCTTGCCCTGTATTTAATCTTGCCAGTTTTAGATGTCAGGGAAATCCTCTTTCTTCACACAGACTTTTCCTTGATTTCTATTGGCTTTTTAAAAAATCCATTGTTTTGCCAGCTTTTTGTCCCTTATGTTTCCATGACATGGAGACTGTTATACAATATGTGTTTTCTTCAGTTACAGTGATTGACTTCTGCTAATCACAGAGGCCGGGGTTTGCTGCTAGGTCTTTCAAGAGACTGCAAGCAGTTGTAAATCACTAATTATCATGATTTTAATTGCCAATCAATATAAGCCACCTCGAAATCCATTGGCTAAGAGCCTCGAGGAGTATAAATGTTTTCAGAAATAGATAGGCAAAAGCCTCTAGAGGTAGAAACGGGGACTCGAGTCAAAAACTGAACAACAAAGAAAGCTGAATTCTGCAAGCAAGGGGAAATTAGCCGACTGTACAAATTATGCAAGTATTACTTGATTATTTGAGTATAGTCAATCATTAAGATTTTCTTTGTTAAATGCAAACTCTGCTGGGAGAAAACAGTGACAATTTATCTGCTATGCTGGATGGACGCTTTGCTCGGTCTCTCTGCACTTCAGCCTCTGTGTCCGGCTTGTAGGCCTTCAGGAGTTGGCTTGCCAGATATAGGTTGGGAGATATCTGGAGATCTGAGGTGTGGACCCTGGGGAGGGTGGGGTTTGGGGAGAGGAGGAAACTCAGTAGGGTAAAACGCCATAGAGTCCGTCCTACAAAGCGGCCATTTTCGGCGGGGAAACTATGGTTGCCAGGTCTTCCTCTGTCCCAGTAGGGGGCTCCAGAGAGTCTTCTTTGCTTGTGCACTGCAATGACATCACCCAGAGTGACATCATCGTGCCAGGCACGTCGCAAGGGACGCTCTAGCATTTGGGTTAAAAAAACTCTATGGTCACCATAGAGTTTTTGCCCAAATGCAAGACTGCCCCCCCACACACACACACAACGTACCCGGCGTGATGACATCACCTCTGGGCATGTAGGATGCCACCGGAATTTTGGGGGTGGGGCTCTCCTTGTCGGCCTGCTGGCCAGCGGCGGATTGGGGCCACTGAAACTGGGGGGAAACCAGCCCCCATCGGGGGATTGGCAACCCTAAGGGAAACTGATCTTGGTCATCTGGAGATCAATTGTAATAGTGAAAGATCTGCAGGTGCCACCTGGAGGTTGGAAACCGTATTCCTGAGGAATTGCGGGGGGGGGGTAGCATTGCCAGCTGTGGGTTGGGAAATTTCTGGAGATTTGGGGGAGGAACCTGGGAAGGGGAGGAGAAAGAGGCCTAATGGGATGTAATGCCAAAGAGTCTACCTGTCAATGAAGCCATTTCCTCCTAGAGAACATAAGAGAAGCCATGTTGGATCAGGTCAATGGCCCATCCAGTCCAACGCTTTGTGTGACACAGTGGCCAAAATCCAGGGGCCATCAGGAGGTCTACCAGCAGGGCCAGATCTCTAGAAGTCCTCCCACGGGTGCCTCCAAGCACCAAGAATACAGAGCATCACGGCCCCAGACATAATGTTCCATCCATACCTTGTGGCTAATAGCTACTCATGGACCTTATAAGGACATAGGAGAAGCCAGTGTTGGATCAGGCCAATGGCCCATCTAGTCCAACACTCTGTCACACAGTGGCCAAAAATACCAGGTGCCATCAGGGGTCCAGGACACTAGAAGCCCTCCCAATGTTGCCCCCCCAGCACCAAGAATTAGAGCATCGCTTGCCCCAGACTGAGAGCTCCTATCTATACCTTGTGGATAATAGCCACTGATGGACCTCTGTTCCAGATGTTTATCCAATTCCCTCTTGAAGCCGTCCATGCTTGTAGCCGCTGCCGCCACCTCCTGTGGCAGTGAATTCCATGTGTTCACCACTCTTTGGCTGAAGAAGGACTTCCTTTTATCTGTTCTATCCCAACTGCTCAGCAATTTCATTGCATGCCCACGAGTTCTTGTATTATGAGAAAGGGAGAAAAGTCCTTCTTTCTCCACCTGCTCTATCCCATGCATAATCTTGTAGACCTCTATCCTGTCACCCCTCAGCCGTCGTTTCTCCAAGCTAAAGAGCCCCAAGCGCTTTGACCTTTCTTCATAGGGAATGTGTTCCAACCCATTTATCATTCCAGTTGCCCTTTTCTGCACTTTTTCTAATGCTGTAGTATCCTTTCTGAGGTGTGGTGATGACCAGAATTGCACGCAGTATTCCAAATGAGGTCGCACCATCGATTTATACAGGAGCATTATGATGCTGGCTGATTTGTTTTCAAGTCCCTTCCTAATAATCCCCAGCATAGCATTGACCTTTTTTTATTGCAGTCGCACACTGCCTCGATATTTTCAGTGAGTTATCTACTACGACTCCAAGATCTCTCTCTTGGGCAGTCTCCACCATTTCGGACCCCATCAACGTGTATTTATAGTTAGGATTTTTGGCCGCATAAGAACCTCTCTCTGTAGTTTGGAGATCCGATGAAATTCTGGAAGATCTCCAGGCCACCGAAGGTCTGTGACCCTCCTGGAGAAACACTGTCGGAAACAGGATATGCTATAACAGGGGCAACTGGTCTGATCCAGCGGGGCTTTCGGTACATCCTGAAGTCTCCGCTTTAAAAAGTTCCGAGGAAAAGAAAATGGGATCCGGGGCTTTGCGGCAAGCAGCAGAGAGGTTGCTGTTCCCAAAGTTTCTAATTGCTGTGTCAGGGCTATTTTTGGGCTGGAACACACAGGAACAGAGTTCCGGCTGGCTCCCGAGTTGGCCACGCCCAGCAGGAGCTCATTAGCATAACAGGCCACACCCAACAGCAGAAACTCATTGGAATTGGCTACATTTGGGGTGTGTGGCCTAACATGCAAAGGAGTTCCTGCTACAAAAAAAGGCTCTGGGTTTTGACAACAAACAAGGTAAACAGAATAAGAAGCAAAAGGTGGGTGTGGCTGGGTGACCACACTTCTGGTAACATGGGGGTGGGGCCTAATATGCTAATGAGCTATGCTCTCATGGGTGTGGCTGGATATGCTAATGAGTTCCTGCTGGGCTTTTTCTACAAAAAAAGCCCTGGTTGTTGTACTTCCTGAACTAAAATGGAAAGTATACGGCATTCATCCCCTCCAAAAAGATTAACTTTTCAAGTGTGTATCTTAGAATTAGAGCAATGAAGGGTTTAGAGTGTTGGACTAAGTCCTGGAAGATCCCAATTCAAACTCTGCCATAGGGCTACCAGCTCCAGTTTGGGAAATACATAGAGATTTGAAGGGTGGAGCCTGAGGTGGGCGGGGTTTGGGGAGAGGAGGGACTTCAACGGGGCATAGTGCCACGGAGTCCACCTTCCAAAGCAGCCCTTTTCTCCAATGACGAACTGATCTCTGTCACCTGGAGATCAGTTGTGATAGGGGGAGATCTCCAGCCACTACCTGGAGGTTGGCAACCCTACTCTTCAAGGAAGGGTGCTCTTTGGCCATTCTCATCCTAACCTGCCTCACAGGGGAGTTGTGAAGATAAGACAAGGGAGCAGAACGGCCCACCTAAAATGGATAGAAATAAGCTGGTCATCTCAAAAATCCTCTGAAACAGAAACATGTCCATATCTTTTTTCAAGAGTCATCAGCATGGTAACCTATTCCACAAGGGCAGATGCCACCACCCAAAAGGCCCTGCTCTTTGTCTTTGCTAGTCTTACGTCCAGAGGCTGGCATATACAAAGCCAGGCAACTCAGGTGATATAAAACCCAGGCAGGCACGTACAGAAGTCCTTATGTTCAGCACAACCTCGAATGCTTTGTTAAACTCTGTCCTAGGACTAGTTTTGAGAAGCGCCGTGGGCAGTGTTGACCATAAAGTACTGGACTTGGTGAACCTATCGAGATCAAGAGCCTCCCTGGCTGCAAAACTCACTGTATTATCTTGGGCCAATAGCTTTGTCTCAGCTTATCCTGTATCTCAAGGTTGTTGTCGAAACTAGGGGGCTGGACGGACTCTGCGTGTTGTCCCAAGCTTGACGATGGTGGGTTGCAGCTGACTTGTGGCAACCTTGTTTCATGGCAGGAGATGAACAGAGGTGGTTTGCCATTGCCTGCCTCTGTGTTCGACAAGTATGGCCTGCCTTAGTGGTCTCCCATCCAAATATTAACCAGGGCCAACCTTGCTATTCCAGGCCATTCAGCTTCAGGCCTAGGGTTGCCAGGTCCCCCCTGGCCACCAGCAGGGGGTGGGGATAAGAGTTGCCATCTCCTGACTGGGAAATTCCTGGAGATTTGGGGGTGGAGCCTAGGGAGGACAGCGACCTCAGTGGGGTACAAGGCCACAGAGTCCAAAGCAGCCATTTTCTCCAGGGGAACAGATCCCTGTAGTCTGGAGACGAGGTGTAATTCCAGGGGA